AACTAGGAAGCCATGATCTACATGTTGCCAGGCCAGCAAAGGAAACTCTTAAAACCACTTCACTAGGCTGTGCTGCCCCACTTCTGGTAGTCACCAGATGTTGCTCCTTCAAATTACAATTTGTTTTAATCCATGCTGTAGCCTTTCTGGTGAGCAGTTCTATTCATATGTGGATATCAAAAATTGTCTTCATGACTGCATTGTTTTGAGACAACCACACTAACAGGAACAATTGCTTTAAATTTATTCTTAAAGTGATTGCCATTATATTTTTCCTAGGACAAAAGAAACTAAAAGCCACTTGTAAGTAGTTTATTGTTGCCCCTCCCCAATAAATACTTAATTATGAAGTATAAAATATGTACATATGTAGCCTTTTTTTTTTTTTTTTTTTTTTTTTTTTTTTTTTTTTTTTTTTTCCCAATTATAAGTCATTTTCTTTTTTTTTTTCCCTCCATAAAAAAATCGCCTTTCTTCACCAAGGTGATTATGCTAATATGTAAGAATCTATTATTTTATATTTGCATAGTTTATCATATAGATATATTGTTGATTATCTGTCCTGCAACACTAACTGAAAAGGTGAGCAAGGCAACCATGTGAGAATGAAAACAAGGCTCTTTTCTCATGAAGCATTTTGCTATAAACAATAGCAAAATTATTGATTTTTGAACTTGATGATATTAAAACTGATTTTTGGTGGTGTGATAATTTGTTATAAAAGTTTTGAATAATTCTAGTATGCACTTTTCTGTTATTGGGACTGAATTCAGAAATTTTTATGTATATATGCACATATTTACATGGATGTATGTGTGTATATGTATGAGCGTATACATGCATATGCATATATACATACACATATACCTGCATACATGAACATATACATTCATACATATATGCATATATACACATATTTCTTAATTCAGCCTTGATAACAGAAGAGTACCTTCTAGTAATGCCATAAATTTGGTTATTTTTAATCAGGACTTAGAAGAGAAGGGCTAGCTCATAGAGCTTTTCCCCCTGAAGCAGAAAGTGAGAAGTGATGACATAGCCATGATGACACTGAGAGCGCCAATATTCAAGCTAATCACAGCTTGAAATTAGCGTTTTTGAACCAGCATTTAAAATGAGCTGTGTGTGAAAGATAGCTATAATTTGGAAGAGGGCAATATTACTTACTGCTTTATGCATTTTAGACTGAACCATTAAAAAATTTTAATAATGCTTACTCAATTTTAAAATAATAGATAAAATGTGCTACTCTTTTAACATAAAGTTCCGTGGTTTTTTTAAATTTTATTTGCAGGTTTTTTTATTTAATGCATGTTTATTTCTACTAATCATTTCTTTATTTGCATGCTAACTGAGAGAATTTTTTATACTGCTTCTAAGATAACTATAATAGCAGCTATTTAAATTTACTCAAAAAACAAACTTTACATTGACATAGGTTTAAACATATATGACATATATGGCAACATTTCTGCTAACCTACGTTTGATTTTTTGCCTAATTGTAAATTTTATATTGTTATAATTCTCTTCCGATTCAATATAATATATTTTTTAAATAATTTTGTAATTATACTTATATCTATATTACAATTAAATAAATGTATATAAGATTGTTACCTTAATTTTGGCAAAATAGCTTTATTCAGAGTACCTAAAACAGTTATTTAATTTTTCAAAAGTGTGAGTAAAGGAAGCAGGTCTTTTTATGCCAATTACTTTGATGTTTTATACTATATTATATTTTATCTAGAATGCTAATCTAGCACAAAATCTAATCAATAATTAGTTACAAAGGATACAATAAGAATAACTTTAACAAGTACTTAACAAAATTAGTTTTGTTAAATACTTGTTATTCTTGTTGGTACTATTTTGGTACTATTCATAATACCGAAGATATTATCGATTAACTCATAGAAGTCAGATGCTTTCTGATTTCCTGTGGGGTAGAGTATACCTTTTGCGGTACTTTTTGAAAATAATGTTTTCTCTGGAGCGACTTTTTGTCTCTCGTTTTCCTTGACCATTAAATAATTTGGTTTTAGTTTGTGACACAATTTGATTTCTTCTCAATCTCTATTTAAAACCTCTTTAATAATATCAAAATTTAAAACAGTTACATCTTCTAAAACAAATCCTCTATATAAAACACGGTTTCTCAGTAATTTGAGGCAGAGCGCGAAATGAGACCTCTGATTAAAACAAACTGCACATTTTGAAAAGAACCAACTTAGTCCAGTTTATAGTCATAGCAGAGTTTTCAATCTATATGCATTTTGTCGAAACTGAGAACGCATATTTTTTCTACAGAATACAAATATTCGCCTCTTTCCTTCTTTAGAGTAAGAACATTACTTTGAATTCTTGGACTACACTAAAATTTAGAAAACACTAAAAAATAAAATAAACATCATTTCTTTAATTTGATAATACTAGGTAAAGATATTCCAATTTTTTTCTTAATTTTTTTTCTTTCCAAAAATCATAGCTTTAAGATGACAGTATGACAAAGCAACGTGAAATATTTTCACTAGTCCACCTGATTTTTTTTCTCTTTTTCATTAATGCATTTGTAAGGATTATGTTAATTTTATTAACAGTTAAATTTTAAGTTAAAGTTCCTTTCCTGTCAAATTCAACTTACTACTTCCGGCCAGAACGTAGTTTTGGAATTTGCTGAATATTTAATGAGAAGGAGCGGTATTTAAACCACGAAGTTACTTACTGGGACAGAGAGAAACAGAGTTTCTGAACTACGCGCGTCTGCCTTTTTGGCCGCTCTCTCTCTCAAAGCTGTTTTATGCTCGGCCGTACTCAGGCCCTTGCTAAGCTTCGTAGTAAAATAAGTTAAGGGGCCAATTCTCATTGAACCTTGATAGCTTTGGCTATACTTAGTTAGTTAATCTTAGTTTTAGTTTAATTCTTGGTCTTTTAAGTTCAAGTCCAATGTGCGAACTTTATTTGTACACTCCCAGGCGGAGTTTTGTTAAATCTTATCGAAACAGTAAAGGGTTATTTACCCTTCTCTCTTGTTGTTTCCTGTCTTCGAACTCTAGCGATTATTCGCTTATCAGTTCCTAGGTTCCTTACTTCCAATATTAACTTAGGATTTCAAGTGAGGGACCTTACACATTAATCTGCGTCTTTATAAAGTAGGCTTTAAACATTTTTCCAAATTCTCCGATTTGTGCTCCCCCCCCCCCAGATTTCTCTATTTGAGATTTTAATTTCTGATACCAATTTCTGTCTAGATGTCGTCCACCTTCTTTGTCGCTGAACAAACATTCTAAAATTTTTCCTTTCTCTATTTTTCAATACTTTAATACAATTTAATGAAAAAAAATTAAGAAAAAAAATTGGAATATCTTTACCTAGTATTATCAGATTAAAGAAATGGTGTTTATTTTATTTTTTAGTGTTTTCTAAATTTTAGTGTAGTCCAAGAATTCAAAGTAATGTTCTTATACTCTAAAGAAGGAAAGAGGCGAATATTTGTATTCTGTAGAAAAAATATGCGTTCTCAGTTTCGACAAAATGCATATAGATTGAAAACTCTGCTATGACTCTAAAATGGACTAAGTTGGTTCTTTTCAAAATATGCAGTTTGTTTCAATCAGAGGTCTCATTTCACGCTCTGCCTCAAATTACTGAGAAACCGCGTTTTATATAGATGATTTGTTTTAGAAGATGTAACTGTTTAAATTTTGATATTATTAAAGAGGTTTTAAATAGAGATTGAGAAAAAATCAAATTGTGTCACAAACTAAAACCAAATTATTTAATGGTCAAGAGAAACGAGAGACAAAAAGTCACTACAGAGAAAACATTATTTTCAAAAAGTACCGCAAAAGGTATACTCTACCCCACAGGAAATCAGAAAGCATCTGACTTCTATGAGTTAATAAATAATATCTTCGGTATTATGAATAGTACCAAAATAGTACCAACAAGAATAACAAGTATTTAACAAACTAATTTTGTTAAGTACTCGTTAAAGTTATTCTTATTGTATCCTTTGTAACTAATTATTGATTAGATTTTGTGCTAGATTAGCAATTTTGTAAGGATATTATTTTGTTCTTCAAATTATCAATGCATTCTTGTTTATCCTTAAACATTCAGGATGATCTACATTTTCATTTGTGAGTTTTATTTCAAAATCATTAAAATTTGATTTGTTATTGTCTTCATCAATTCAATTTCGATTTATTATTGTCATCATAATTTACTTTCACTTTCGCACAGCATTCCATTTCAAAACAGTTTCTTTTTGTGGCTCTCAAACAAACAAGCGATTTTTCATATCATCTTCATAAAAACTGCATAGAAAATGTTCGCTGCAGATTTTCCGCTCTTCACATTAATAGAATCTTGTCTTTGACATCTGTGTATCCATTCTTTTGTCAAAAGCAAAATCTCATTTGGATCCTTTGGTCTCCATGAAATAAAATATCTCATCCTTTCATACTTCTGTAAGTGCTACGGCACGTTACTACAGCGCAAAAAGCCATATTACGTAAACGATACTTTACAATACAGAATTTAAAATAAAAACTTACTAAAATTACATATATATACAATTATTAGAAAACAGATATATATATTATTAAAATTAATTTGGGATATGTAACCTCTAGAAAATCGTCTCGCAGCTCAACGAAACTACTGTTTTAAACGCGGGAAATCAGGACAGGTGGCATCACAGTGACGTCAGATTATTGCCTGTTACGCCCCCATTAGGCTCGCGTCGGCAAGGAGTCGAACAAAGAAGTGAGTTAGCCCTTCTATTTATCCCTGATGTTTAATGATTATTACAAATGTGTTTCTATTAAAATCTTGATTATGTAAATTAAAAGGGTGGAGAATGTACTGTAAAATCTGTTAGTTTATTATATTGGTGTTTTATAACATTTACTTTAAATTATGCATAAAAGTAAATCTTTATATGAATGCTTTTGTTAATTCTTATGATTATTCTAGGAAATAGAAGCTCTGGAGGAATACAAAAGGAGCACTGAACTGCAGCAAAAAGCGGTTGTCCGTTCTCTGGTGTTTTATTCCGTGCTAATATACATCATAGTAGCGGGAGTGTTCCTTTTCTATTCTTTTCCTGTTACTACAAGAGATCGTATTGTATATTCTATTCCACTTTTAGTTTTTCCACTTTTGTAAGTATTTCCCTTTTATGTATGTTTTGCTATTATCTGATTTAAAATTTTATGTATCCTTTGCTTCCTTCAACATTAAATATTGCATTAGGCTGTTAGTAAGTGTAAAATATTTTGTTGTGATTTTCTCTCCATTCAGTTAAGCAGTATTAAATAAATTCATGTGCCCTCTTTTGGTTTGCATATGTAATCTGCATAAAAAACAAGAGTAAAATGCTAAGCTAAAATTTTAATTATTAATATTAAAAAATGTGTGTCTGTATTTTCTCTTTAAAATAAAGCACACTGTTTGCATTGATCCATAAAAGTATTAAATAACGAACTATCACTGCAATAATCTGAATAACTGAATCTCCCTTTTGTGAAAAGTAAGGAATAGCTGCCTTTATTATGGGGGGCTACAAATATATTGATGTTCTAGTGGCTGATAATTCCTTTTAAAAAAATTGCACTTTTTTGTTAATGGAGCAAAGCAGGCTAATATGGCCTTTTTTTTTGGGGGGGAAGCACCAAGCATAAATGTTTGCACAAAATCTCACCAGACAGTGACAAAGCTAGTGCTATGTAAAGCTTCATGAAAAATTAACTTGAAATAACAACTATGCATCATGAAAGTTTTGCATCTTTTTTTAACCCTTTAACGAGCGGTGGTCGCGCCCTGAAACCACCAATTTTCGAATTTTTTTCTCTTCTTCCTTCCGAAATTTTTGAGTGAAAATCAATTGATTACTGATCTTTTACCTCTAAATAACACAAAATGACTTCAGACTCATACATGTTTTAGGTCTTAGTACTTCAAATCGGATGCCTTTTAAAATTTGTTTTCAATAAGACAAAATAACTTCCTTTTATTAATATAAACAACTTTAAATTTCAAAAGTTATTCATCGCACATCATGATTTCTATCATAAACAATAAAAAATAGCAATAATTAAACTGCATATATAAAAACAACCCTCTATATGTATGGCATTTGCTTTGTGGTTTCAGGGCGCGACCACTGTGACACTAGAGCATTGTGCCACAATGCTCTAGAGGCTCGGTGATCGCGCCTTGAAACCACTGCTATTCACAATGACTTCAGACTCATACATGTTTTAGGTCTTAGTACTTCAAATCGGATGCCTTTTAAAATTTGTTTTCAATAAGACAAAATAACTTCCTTTTATTAATATAAACAACTTTAAATTTCAAAAGTTATTCATCGCACATCATGATTTCTATCATAAACAATAAAAAATAGCAATAATTAAACTGCATATATAAAAACAACCCTCTATATGTATGGCATTTGCTTTGTGGTTTCAGGGCGCGACCACTGTGACACTAGAGCATTGTGCCACAATGCTCTAGAGGCTCGGTGATCGCGCCTTGAAACCACTGCTATTCACAATGGCGTTTGCTTGCCTCTCGAATAGGAATGTTTATTTTTAACTGGATATAGATAAGGGGTTATGAAATCACAGAGTTATTTTATTACGAAACAATACATGCACCTGCCCAGTAAAAAGGTCTTTCTTTTCCAGCAACTTCAACACACTTGCTCCCCAAGCTAGTATTGTGATTTTATAAATTCTTTCCTTTGGTTTAAATTTAATGTACATATACTTTGCTGTAATTAAAAATAGAAATCGCATAAAGTTTTATTTAAATTAAAAATATTTTCTGAAAATTTTGGGACGAAATACGAATAAAATAAGTATGAATGGGAAACGAATGATCCTTATCAAAGCCAAAAAGACTAAGCCCCTCCTCATTAACATAAAAAAACCACAAATTTCATGTGCCAGATGAAAAGAAACTAAATAACGCTGGATATAATACCAGGGAAATTTAGATCCAATCATTGTACATTTTCTAGCACAAGGAAGAAACCTCATAGAAGAAGATACATGTGGCGAAACATGCAATGTGGGCATGCATGTACCAAAAAAACAGAACATGCTTTGAACAAGGTCACAAAAAATATTTGTTCTTTGAAATTAAAAAAAAAAAAAAAAAATTCACCAAGTCTTTTTTTTATCCTTATTGTACTGAGTTTTTTAATCCATGTAGCCAAACGTCCTTATTATATAGGTACTTTCACTGCTATAGAAAAATTATATAAATATTTATTTTTAAATTTTTTCTGACGATTAACTTTGTAAAATAATGTAAAAAATATATATATTATATATTATGCAATTCCTACATGCATTTTGTTTTAAATTTGTAAATTTCGTCATTTATTGGAAACGCGCACGGAGAAAGGTAAGTTTTTTTTTTTCCTACTTACCTCGGTAAGTTTCAAGTCCTAGACGCGCGGTGGTTTCACAGTGTGACCACCACCCACAGAACAATGGGCAAGAGTAGATTTTTTTTAAATTCATATATTATTTGTCTCTAGGATCATAATATTCAATTTCTAGAGTTCTTAGTTAAAAAAATTATAAAAATAATATCGCGCACGTCAAAGGGTTAAGTGCATCTTCTTTTAATTATTTTGTTACTCCTGGTAAGGAGTGATCTTGTTGAAGCAGTTGTTTAAATACAGTCTTTTCTGCTCACATTGCATAATTCTAGCATCTGTTATGGCATATTTTTTGTTTCTATGCAGTAATAAGAACGGGAAACCCAAAAGTAAATTTTTGTCATATTATGCTGTTTTATTTTAAAAGAGAAAATAGTGCTAGTCTGACTGTTCATAAAATTTATGTTATATATGGAAAATTGCGGTGTCTGACAACATAGTTAGTCAGTAATTTGAGAGGTTTAAAAATGAAAACTTAGACAAAGATGATGCCTGCTCTAGATGACCATTCTCTGTTTAAAAGAAAAAAAAAAAAAAGGAGAAGCCTAGTTTTCATGTTTAAACTTCTCAAATCACCATCGAACTATGTCATCAGATACAGCAATTTTCTGTATATAGCATAAATTTTAATGAAGATGGTGCGTGCTCTGGAAGACCATCCTCTGTAAACAACTCTGTAAACAAGACTTATTAAGCACAATATTAAAATTCTTTACGATTAATATCTGGACCAGAACTGCTGGGTGAATTAATTATCTTTTTGATGCAAATGATACTAAAGTTCTTTGGATGTGAGGAATAGGGTATAAAATTGTAAAATTTGAATGCACAGTTGTTTGTTTTATTTTTCTGTCATGACTTAATTTATGAGAGGTGTGTCATGGGTAGATATTTTTTTTTCCTTCCATATTATTGATGTGCTAATTATTAAGGTTTTTCTTTTGTCTTTGTGTGGGAATGAAACTTTAATAACAGAGGAATGTCTTAAAGAGAGACTGGATTTTTGAAGGGACTGTAGTATGGTATTTTGTTATGTTATTGAAATTTATGGCCATAAAATATGTGAACGACAGTTCAAATATTGGGGAAATTTTTCATCCCAGTATTATTATTATTAATATTTTTATATATTATCAATATTAATAATTTTTATATATTCAATTTATCCAATATTAATAATGAACAAAGTTAAAAATATATTTATGAGGTTCTCTAGAAAAATTAATTTCTGAAAAAAGAGATATATATTTTGTGTTTAAGCTTATGTGGTTACTCTGTATTCTTTCCTAAATTGAAAACATAAAAATAATGTTTTTCTTATTTTGTTATGTGCTATCAAACAAATGTTTTAAGGCATTAGATGAGATTATTGCATAGTCTTTTTGTTACTGTTTTTACTATATTTGCCATTTATTCGTTTAGGTTATATATTTTAAAGAAATTTCTGCATTGGTACTTTCTACAAAAAATTCGTAGCAATGATCAGAACTTAATTGAACTTAAGAGGAGAAAAAAATCTTTATTAGAATTTGCTATGGAAACAGAGACTTATAAAATTGTAAAAGAATTATTAGAAAGATTTGATCCAGAATATCATAGGAAGGTGAGAATTCGTGTTTGTTTATTATCTTATAATTAAGCAATTTGTAGTTGAAAAGAAATTGTTTTGAACAATTAATTTTATGATTAAACACCTCAGAACCATGACTGTATTGCAGTGAAAATTAGTGAAATTTAAATTAGGCAAAGTGTGACGAATTCAAAAGGCAAGAGGTAGCATAAATAAATTTATTTGCGTTCTTTCTAGGCTATATACAAAAAAATTAAAATAAATAAACTTATAAAATATTGTTCTCACAGTAGGGTGAGGGGAAAAGAAATATAACCAGTTCAGATGGTGGGAATAAAGTTCTTGTTTAGAACTCAGCCAAGATGAAAGTTCTTGTTTGGAAATAATTCAAGATGAGGCTGTGTTGAATTAATTGAATCTCTAAGCCAGTGTGGTTGCGGACTGAACTGGTTCTGAGCGGGGTGCTCCTCCGTAAGGTAGCGGCGAACCCGGCTACTTCACTGTAATCTTTTGGCAGAGATACCAATATCGCTCTATGCAGCACGAAAATAAAATTTGCTTGTGGCGAAGCTGGAAAAACCGAGAGAAGGTTTCTCTCTCTACTTACTGCAAGTCACTCTCACTTTCTCTTCTCTCTGGAACTGCATTCCATGATTTTGTTCAAGTTGTACTGGGCGTGTTGAAATGAATCCCGGGATCCTCATTTGACCGTAATTTTTAGAAGCGCTTCTTGATTGGTGAGAGCACTTTGATTAACAACTGGATATGATAAAGACGGCCTGGGAAAAAAATCCTTGAGAACTTTTCAATTCCAACTTGGGATTCAAACCGGGCGGTCTGAGACACTGAACCTATAACCTGATGAAAGGGAACGGAACAATGTCTCCTTTCGAACAACTATGAAAGGTAACAAAAACCTAAGATTGTTTTGTGACTGCTTGTCACTTTCTTTTTCCGAGAATTCATTAAGAAATACTCTGTTTGTGGGAACTTTCGAGGTGGTCATTCTTTTTCTCAGAACTTCGTGGTGGTCGATAAAATAACTTAAGATGTTACAATAGTTTTATGTTTAAGTCCTCTTATCCCCTGATATATTGAGCATTAGATGAATTAATGAAACAAGCACAACTGTCACTTCAGTTACATTTTATTCAAGTCACACAGTTAAATTTATGACTGAAATATTAAGCCATTATGCTAAATATTCCTGTTGGAGAATACTTTCTTGATACTCTCTCTTCCATTTTGAGTTAATGTATATTCTGAATTTTAAAATGTATCAAGGAAAATTATTTAACACAAATCTTAATTTTGCTAAATAAAGCAGTGAGCTTAAAAAAGCTAAAGTAGGTAGATTTTCAAATTTTGGAATTTTTTGGGACAAAAAGGAAAAGCATCAGCTATAAATAAGTTGTTATAGATGAGATACTGATTTGTCAGGTACAAAAGAATTTATATATTTGTGTACATTTATGTTATTTGATTGTGCAATTTCAATAATATATTTTTTCTGGTGATTGAAATGCGTGTGTAAATAATTTATTATTTCAGTGGGTTCCTTAGACTATATGAAGCTAAGACTTGTAACTAAATTACAGATGCTTTTTGGGAACAACTAGTTTAGGTTTATTAGCATAAGCTAATAACATAACATACATAATTATGTAGCATTAATCTAGAAATCATTTTTATGATCTGTATATGTTATGAAAATAAATACAGTGTTGGTCATTAATATTGCTACATCATGAAGGCTGTATGCATGCATCCAAATGTTTGTTGTTTTGTGTGAAGATCATGCTATGCCTTGTGTAAGAAGAAACACCTACCAGCATATTTTGGAATTTGACAGTGGCAGGATTGTGTCTTATTATGTCTGCCTTTTATTGTTCCTCAACATTGTTGCTCATGTTGGTCGAGATGCCATGACTATCAATCGAATATAAAGTTGATGGGTCCAGCAGAGCCATACTGAATGTCATAAAGGCTCTCAATGTCCCAAGGCCACTAATGCCCAAGAGAACAGATGTTATCTTCTTGGCCTTGCAGAATTATACAGCCAAGTCACATACCTTGGATCAGGAACTTGGCTTGTGTTCATGACAGTAAGTTTTGTTCGGGCAGTGTGAAGATGTCTACAACACCATAGACTGATAGCATGGTGACCATTGCTGTGACAGTTGTCGTGCTTTCCCTTGATAATATAGTAGAATCAGGCACTGCTATAGTGATGTGACAAATCATAATACTGGATACAGGAGTGGCACAATGTCACCTTTTCAGACAAATCCTGTTCTCTGTATAGCATCATAATAAATATATCCTTATGTAGAGGCACTGAGGAGAACAAATGTTGCTAACTTGTATTCTTCATTGTTGTATAGATCCGAGCACCCTGAGGTGTCATTTGGTATGCTCTCAGTCATCTCCTGTTGGTATAGCTGGTAATATAGACAGTTGCCATTGCATTTTTGATATGTTAAAATTCAGTGTCTGTGCCTTATCTTCAAGGCATGTATTATGTCAACTTCCAACAAGTTCAGCAGCAACCTCATAGGCTCATGCTGATCAGGGCCAGAGAATATTTTACTATTTCCCTAGCCAGCACATTATCCAAATCTCTCACCTACTGAGAACATCTGGTCATAGTTTACCAAGAGACTGGCACGGCACCACTCGCCTCACACTGCAATGGATGAAATCTGGCAAAGATTTGAAACTGCAAGTATCTGTATCTGTCATCCAAACTCACTTTGGCTTGATGCCTGTCCGAATACAGTCATTGTTTCTGTCAGAAGTGACAGCTCTGCATACTGAATTCTGCAGGCTGTATACTCCAGTTGAAATATTTATACATAATAAATAATCTGCTATTTGTTTTTCTTCTCGATGTAGCAATTTTAACAGCCAGTAGTGTAGTAAATATAAATATGACACATATATTTATTCAGGTAATATAATATATGGTTGTAAATATAATACATTGTTGCTTATTAAGCATTAATGAGAACTCTTTAATATAAAAGTGCTGTTGAAGATGTGGGAGAGCAGTAAATATTATCAAAAATATAATGCACATTAGTTTTTATATAAACACAATCATAGTCAGTGAGATCTTTTATTGTTGTTTTTTAAACTCTTTGTATTAGAGAAACAAATTACCCTTTTCCAATAGCTTTATTCATGTTTTATTGCAGGTATTTGAGCCAAAGCCTGCCATTGAAGCCCCACAACCTTCTCCAGCTATCAAAGGCTCATTTACTGATATAGGTATAATTTATTGTATTGAGTCAAAATTGTATTACAAACTTGCAAATACACAGCCTGTATCATAAATAGTCTACACATAAAAAAAATAATACATTCATAATGAAACTTTGCATGAATTATAGGGAGTTAGAAATGAAAGAGTGATTGAACAGCTATGAATCTGTTGAACAAATATAGATCCAAAAACATTTACAAATTAATATATATATGTATATACATAGTGCAATATATATAATATATGTGTGTGTGGATATTTAAATCTTTATTGCTTTGTTGCAGTATAGTGCACTGATTTAAATTATTTATTTGGTACTTGCATATTATCGCAACCACCTTATCAGAAGTCCCGAGACTTCCAGAATGTGCGAATTCTGGCAACAATTCTTCAGGCAGCCATGCTTGTAACAGACCTTCAGTCAAGCAACATACCCATATTAGTGTCCGTTCTTTTTGTTCCATTCCAAGTTCTAATAGTTTTTATAAACTAGTAGTAATATTTTTTGCCTTAAACTTGGTTTTAAAACAAGCACTTGTGGCATTTGCCAACAATGGAAAAAAAATTTCGGCAGGAATTTTGAAGCAGAATTTCTAAACGCAACAGGGAGGAGATGCATTTGGTTCGTAGCTACTGTTGGAATTCTCTGATGTCTTTTAAGTGAAAACAGATCACTGTGTATTTGAAGAGAACAACCTAAAAAAAAAAAAGACAAAAGATTTGGAGAAGAATGCAAATGTTTTATTTTTTAATGTATCACATAATCTTTATTTAATTATTAAAATCTGTATTCTTAATTACTAAAGTATATTTTATGTCCTGATAATGTTTGCCAACTTATAATAAATATTAATAGTTCGGGAATCTTTTTTTTTTTTTTTTTTTTTTTTTTTTTTAAATGATATGTGAAGCTTGCATCCAATAACTCATTTTTACTTTTTCATCTGCAAAAGGTTGCCAAATTATGCCTAGGTAGTTGTGTACCATTTATTTATGTGTTTTCTATTTATAGTCACTTTTTTATTTATTTATTAGCATTAATTTTTTTATATGAAATTCCTGACATTTTTGTTTTGAGTATGCCACCGTTCAAACTGTAAAAATAGTGTAAGTAAAATGTGAGATATTCTCTTCACAGGCCTTGGAAACTAATTTTTCTTAAAATTTCTAGAAGCTCATGCTACATTAGATTCATGCCTATTGTATGAATACAGCTCAGAGAACTTACATAGACTTGTTGTAGTTGTTATTCAACTACTTAAATTTATTGTTAACTGAATTGTGAGTTTATGGATATTGGCAGTTGCTAATTCTTCTTTTGTGCACTAAGGAGGAATTTTCAATTCTGTGTTCTGCTTAAACTGTTTGAAATTATTTATTGTGCTGTGTTGAGTTAGTTTTTATAATAAATTATTAATTTCTTCTTAATATTTGAAGTGTTGATTCAAGAGATATCAACAAACCAGTAACTTCCTACAGTTAGTGTCAGAAATGAGATCTCTTTGAGTACCAACAATCAGGAAGATAGAACAGCTGAAAGCTATTATGGAAGTGACTGCTAACAATGGGAAAGAAGCCACAGAAACGAGAAAAGAGGCAGTCGCAAATGCCGCCATGATAAAGAAATCCATCAGTGGAAATACCACTGAGATAAGAAGAGAAATTAAAGAAAGAACTGCCACACTTAAAGAAGAAATTGTGAATAATGGGAATAAAAAATTAGCCACCAAAGAAGACAAATTTGAAAAAGAGATAGCATAATCTTCTTTGACCGAAGAAATCTGTGTACTGAATGAAAGCCTGGTAAAGAAAATTTTAAAACTAGCTCCTTCAAAAGCAACATTCCAGCCCAACCTGATTTGAACACTCTAACTTATCCTGTTTTGAGAACATTCCAGTTTATTTATCTTGTCTTCCAATTAAGCTCTTGTCATGTATAGAAAATCATCATGGTGTGTATAGAAAACCCAGTTTGAAATGATTTCACATGCAAGTCAATTGGGACCTTGTCAACAAAGTCATAATTTTGGCTGTGTCCTTAAAAAAAGAGGCTTTTACATCTTACAAACACTTCCAGCCAAAAAAATGTTTAGATATTGCCTCTTTAGTTAATGTGTTAGATATATGGTTTCAAAAAGCATTTCTCAAAGACTGCAGCTTAAGACTCAGCAATGGAGGGCAAGAAAGACCCTTTGAGAACTGCCATTGAAAAATTAACACAACCAGCATTTCCAGATCATGGTCAGGAAATCAGAGGCATGCTGAGTCCTCAATATTTTGTGGATGTTATTAGAAATCCCAGTAAAAAATAAGCCCTCCATTGCTGAGCACTGCAGATTGCTGATAATAAAGACTAGGAGAGTGCTCTAAGTGCATGCACAGAATGTTGATACTGCCTAGAATGCCTGTAGAAGAGGTGCTTGGCTTAGAAATATGGATTTTGTTTAGATGTAAAAAGTTATAACCTGTGCACCTCTAATGAAAAATATCAATGCTTGGAATGAATGATGATGAAGTGAACTGCTGTAGGACAGTTACTCATGAGAATATTACTATTGCTGCTAGTGTGAAATGATTTATTGGCTCTGAAGTGGAAACTCATGAGAAGCTGCATGGGGGAATTGCTAATTTCCCTAAGGTGACATGTGAAAGGACTTTTAACTGCAGCTGCTTTGGTTGATTTAACAAAAATATGCCAGTCAGAATCACCAATTACAAACTTTTCTTTGACTGTTTTGCTGACAGTGTCTTTCTGAAGTCAGCTTTTTATTAGGTTTCAAAAGCTTGTAATTTATTGGTCCCTGGATATCTCATTATCTACACATCATTATCTTACTCAAGCTTGGTTTAGAAGTGGAGGTGGCAGCTTGTCCAAGCTAACAATTTTCACTTTTTCTAATGATGTTTTTGTAGGTAATCTACTTTTCATCCTAGTTATCATCCAGTCCAAAAAGGTTTGTTTTTGTTCTGAACAGAGAAAATAACATGATAACTCGATAATGCAAATTTTTCTAACTCATGAGGCATCATCTGAAATATATATAGACCAATCTTTGTTTTTGAATATGATCCAAAATAGTTTGTTGAGCTGAATTAAGCTTTTCTGCCATCTCCAGTTTTGTCAAAAATGGATTTTTCTCTGTCATAGTCTTGACAATCTCATCATCGATTAAAGATGGCGGCCTAGAACTCGGTTTTTTGTTAAAATCAAAATCACCTGCTTCAAACTTTTAGAACCATCTCCTGTATGTTTTATTCAAAACTGCATTTCCACCAAAAACTTTCACTAAAATTTGACACAATTCTGTAGCATTTCTTCCTTTCATACAAAATACAGTGTTGTGTCTGAACTTTATCTCAATAGTACAAGCAATTTTGTTTCAGTTAATTTAGAGGAGTGTATATGCATAAATGCAATGATAAAGAGAGACAGCAATGTATATCTCAGATGAACACATGGATGTGTGTTAAAATTTGAAATAATGTTATTGGACAGAACTTTTGGATGGACCTTATAATAAACATATTGAAACTGATTTAGGTGCAATGAAGACACACCATAAAGTTTGCTAATATTTTTCCTAGGACAAGGCCATAGTAAATGTAGAAAATTGATGCAAATCCTGTGATGCATGTGCTGCTCAAAAAGGCCCACAAACATGTACATTTGCTACAGTGTAGGAGCACCATTCAGAAGGACTGCTCTGGATGCTTTCACACCATTGCCTTATACAACAAAGGAGAACAAGTATATTCAAAGTGTCATGGATTACTTTAGTAAATGGCCAGAAGCTTATACCTGCCTTATCAAAAAGCCTTTGTTGTCTAAATCTTAATAAAAAACTGGACTTCATGATTTAGAGTGCATTTGTTTGTTCGCTCTGACAAAGGGAATACATCTGCTATATTTAAAGGGCTATGTAGAATTCTTGGTATAAAAAACTAAAACTTCACCTTTACATCCACATTTGGATAACATGAAAAAGGTTTAATCGCATATTGGACCATCCTTCTCTGTTCTTATTCTGGAGCCAGCAGGACTTGGACAAAAAACTGCCATTATTTCTGTTAATATATAGTAGTGCCATTCTTAAAGGCACTAGATTTTCTCCATCACAAATGATTTTTTGCTGTGATATTTGTCTGCCATGTAACATACTCTTCAGATGACTGGCATACATTCCTTCTTTGCCTGATCAGAACCTAAAGGTGTGCAGGCACATTAAGTAGTCATTCATTAGTTCACTAGAGGCAGGATCAACACAGCGACCAAGAGGATGAAGAGATATGATGTCAAGTCCATATAGAGAGAATTCAAGGATAAACATCAAGATCAAGTCTGGTTGTGAAATCCCAAGAGACATTGCAGGATCTCACCCAAGCTGCAGACATCTTGGAAAAGGCTGTTGACAGAAGCTGAATGACATGCTGGTACTTGTCCAAAGAATTCCCTTTTCCACACTTTGAGTAGTGCACTAGGATAGACTGAGTTTTATTATGGTAATAAAGTTTGGTTCTCTCTGATCTTGAAGTTTGTTCTGACTTGGATATACAATCCTTAAGGATGGGATGTTATGAATATATCTGCAAATATTTGAATTCTTTTTATTGTATTGTTGTAATATTGTACATTGATTTAGTTATTTATTTATGTGTTTTTAATTAATGAACACATTTTTTTTTATATCAGTGTTTGTTTATTCTATGGAATTTTTGATTTTGTTATTCTGAACATTGCATCATAAAAACTGTAAAAAAAAATTAAAAAAATAAAAAAATGCGAGATATGCTCCTTACCAGCCTTGGTAACAAATCTTTCCCCAGAATTTCTAGAAGCCCATATTGCATCAGACTCATGCCTACATTATCCCTGTATTACATTATAAATAAAATTCAGACCTTGTTGTTTTAATTCATTTATGAGATTTTAGCATTAGCTGTATTGTGAATTTACTCTTCAAGTGTTTTTGGCATTTGCTGATATTTCTCATGTACAAAAGAAGAATTGTTTAATATCTATGTTTTACTTAACCTGTTTGAAGTTATTTGTTTTGATATGTGCAGTTAATTTTTGTAATAAATTTTAAATTTCTACCTTGTACTGAAGTGTACAGACAGTGCTTACAGACATTCATATTAATGTTTATGATTTCTTTAAATAACTTTAAAATTAAATTAGTTGTTTAATTTGTGACATAGTCTGAAATTTTTTCAAAAATGTTTACCAGATTATGAATTTGAATAACTGAAAAAGTTTTAAATCTATTTAGCTGTTCAAAAAATGATTCTTCATTAAAATCTTTATTGTTCAGGTTTGTTATCAGTTACTACTCTTCATGCACATTTTGCAAACTGTTTTACTAATATTGATATATGTTGCAGAAATGGATAACATGAATTCTATGTAATATTGTTTATGTTTCTTAAATAAAGAACTACTAATTGTAACTTTAGACATTTAATAGCTTTTCATTATGAAAAATGTATTTAATTCTTATTTCATAAACTGCTTAATAGAGTTATACACATGTAACATTGGGTAAATCTAATGACATAATTTAAGATATTTAGAAATCTTTGCGCATTTTATATTACTTTTTAGCAGAAATATTAAATCCTACAAATGATTTTTTTGACTTTTTATTTATTTATTTTCAGATTTGAGGAGAAGAAATGTGTCACCTAAAGCATCTGCTCTAAATTTAGCTTCATCTGGTCAAGCAACTCTTACCATTAACAGTGCAGCAGCAGGTCATCCAAATATATTTCCTGTTATGCCTGGAAAACCCCCTACTAACCCTCCTTACCCCCCTGCATTTTTACAGAGAGGTGGCCAACCTTTTGGTATGTCAAGCATGCTCATAGAAATATAATTTAATTCTTTGGATGCTTTTTGCCATTAAATAAAGTGCCGATTATACAAATAAAATAGCACATTAATATTGTTCTAATTTATTTTATGAAATGAATAACAAGTACATAGATCAATCAAAAAGTAGTGTAAAATCCATTGTAGCTTAGTAATAGAAGCAATAGAGAAAGCAATTTTATAGGTAGAAACAGTGGTCCTTTGGAAATGTCACTCAGTATATTATCAATTTGCTTTCTCATGTTGCAACCATCTTTGTTTTGCAGGACATGGTTGTACCTCCATTCCGTCAATTACATTTTGCTATCAGAATCAAAAATGGGAAAACCAGGTTTTGTCACACACAATGACTCCATAAAAATATTCATTTCCAAAGAGAAACTTTACTGAAGATCATCAATTTAATTCTTCTTGATTTACATCATCTCGTATGCCAAGAGCTTTAGAACCCAGTGAATATAACATTTTCCCTTTTTTTTAATATATATATTAGTATGAATACAGATTCTTTTGTCGTACCTAGTACACCATGATCTGTCTTGTGGTGATACATCTGATGTTATAGCAGTTCTTCAAAGACTTGCATTTTCATTGGTTGTGACAGTCTACCCTCTACCCGTATGTGGCTGTTCCTTGGTATTGTAGTCACTAGAAACCTCTGATGTTATCAATGTACATTACTTCGACTCATTGTATTGTTCCCAATGGCTGGCGACAACTTAGTGTTAATCGATGTGTCTGAGTTATCTCCAGATTTCCAGAGGAATTTGATGACTGCAAATTGATGTAGTAGAGTATCATTGTATAAAACCAGGAGATTACATCCATGGTGGCTTACTTGCAACAGTAAGGAATAAAAATGTGATTTGGACACCACAACTTGAATGGCCTATTGAATTATATACATTTTTTGCTTCACATCATGTAAACTTATTTTCTCAAATAATTCTAAATTAATTGATCCCTCGGGGCAAGTTAAAAATGATATAAAAAATTCCAAATTTTAAAAATTAAATACCACAGTTTGTATTTGTCATATGGATGTCAAACTTGTTATAATTTTGTTTTTTCACAACGAGTAGAATACTTTTCTGAGTATAAGTATTATAGGAACCAGAAGAGTGCCATTTAAAGTTAGATTTTGTTATTTGTTGAAATTAAAATATATATACAGTCAAAAGTCGTTAATACGGACTCGTTGGGACTTCGGCGATTCCGAATTATCGATTTTTCCGGATTATAGATCATCAGTTTAAATCTGGTAAGATGGCATGCAGAAATTATAAAATTAAAAATATGAAACCATAATTTATGAAATAAAGAGCAATTATGATGGGTATCAAAATTTACAAAAAGAAAAAGCTAAATATTTATTTGCTTACTTAATTAAACATTTCTTTCAATGTAAGTTGTTTAATTTGCTCCGTTTCATGTGATAATACTTTCTCTTTAATTCTATTAAACAGACATAATTTCTTGTTTAGTTACAAAGTTCCGCTGTTCAAGTCCTATAATTGCTGTGTCAAGAATACCGACTAATTTGTCAATTGAAATTTTTTCGTTTTCAATAACCTCTGCGTCACATCCTTCACTATCGGAAGCGAATTATAATGACAAGGAACTTGATTTAAATCATATCAAAGACTGAGTACATCGAGATGAAATACTACATTTAGTAAAGAATTATAAGCCAAATAAAATAAAAACATCTGCTCTGAAGATAAGGATAGTGCTGACAGATCAACTTCCAATTCATTGCGCGCCGTGTCGTTTCCCCCCCCCCCAGAGCAGCGTGAAATTGATAAACATATTTCAGAATGATTACATAATCAAAGGATATATGCCTTTATCCATTTTTTGCAGCAATTCCACTTTCTGTTTAATGGATTTCGAAACGTACTTCCGCTTTGTAGATCCTTTACGTATTAGTAAATATATATCGGAAATTCTATTTGACATAATCGGAAGTTCAAGCTTACTTTTATAAAATTGCTCTAACAGTCTGCAAAAAATAATAAGCCAGATCCAATTCGAAGATTAAGGAACAACGCAATCTGTAACATTAACTGAAATAAATAATTAGATAGTTTTAGCTTATACCGTCAGTTATACATTAAACGCGCATGCGGAAACGTATTATCCGCATGCACACATGTATATTCGCAGCCGTAAAGGTCTTATGCGCACGCGTAAACGCCTTTGCATGCGTGAAAGACACGCATGCGCAGAAAGTTTTTAGCTTTGAGGTCCGGATTATAGATCATTCCGGATTATGGGTGTCCGAATTAACGACTTTTGACTGTATACATGTACATATCAACGAAACATGAATATTTTCATCATTTAAAACATTTTTGTAATTGGAAGTATGTGACTACTACCAATGATTTCAAAAATAAAAGACCAGGTAAAGGAATGGGTGTGTGTGTGTATGTATGTATATATATATATATATGTATAGTTTTGGTACTGCCGGTTGCAGTGAAAAAGGGAGATGCACAACTAGATGTTATAGCAGTTCCATGTGCAAACTTTCAACATTTTGCAGCTAATCGTTTTTGAGTTATGCAAGATACATACATACACGTGTATGTACAGACATCACAAGAAAATCCGTTTTGGAAAAATGAATCCTTTATTCTGTCCATATGTCGCACAAAAAAAAAAAAAAAAAAAAAGTCAAAATGGATTTTTATTGAAATATGATACCCAAAATTTTGTGCTGCTATAATTAGGTATATGTTAGGCAATCTAAGGTAAATGCTTCTACCTACAGAATTTCATTGCCAGTTATTGAGCTGCAGTGGATTATGCACTATTTTTAACCAGCTTATGTGTAACAGCTAGCAAGAACTTGGCATGAAAAAAAAAAGTATGGTGTGTTTATTTTCGTAACTTTTCTGTGCAGTATTCTTTTTCTGTATGTTAAACACGCTCATTAAATATATGCTCCTAATTTTCCATGGCATGCAGATTTTGTAACATAAATACGTGCATGGTGTATTTGTTACATGACATACAGTCCTTCAGTGTAGAGAGTTATTTCCAAAGTAACAAATTGAACTGATTTATTTTTATTAATAATACCTGTTTTGTATGTATGTATGAAAAATATTGGAAAATGTGAAGTATATAATTTGAAAAAAAAAAAAAAAAAAAAAAAAAACTGGTTTGGTATTTGAGGGGAAAAAAATTTTAGCATTTTTAGAAACATATATATTTTGTATGGTGATCAGAATGACTGTGCCTAAACTACCAACTAAAAAATACACTTCAATGTGTAATAATAAACCAGCATAAATTGAAAACCTAGAAAGTATTTATGTTCTTAAGCATAAAGTGGTTTTTTGATAATACTTGCGGCTGTTGTTTTTAAGCTGTAAATACTTGCTAATGAGCCTATAAGTATCTTCTTTGTGATAAGCAATTTTTGTTTGTTTATGTGACAGAATTTATGCTAGTATCATCATTAAAGATCAAAGCTTTGGGAAAGACTTCTCTTAAGGATTTGAGTCTCGACAATTTTTCCGAAATCTTCTAATTAATTATATTTGTATAAATTATCTGCTTTTTAAATGTTTATATAAATAGAATTTATGGATGAACTGCTTTTAATTGTTCAGTATAAAAAGATATTTGATGCTCTGTCCTATATTTTAAGTTATACTGGATTCTACTTAGCACTGATATAGATTTTATTAACTGGAATTCAGTTCGTTCTGGAATTAAATTATTGCAAAAATATTTAAATATTGATTTTACAATGAATGATTTAAATGGAGATCATTCCTGTCAAAGAAGTGAAACAAATAAAATATTTGGGATTTGTTTTGGATAATAAATTTCAGTGGTAATTTATGATACAAAGATAGGTGATCTTGGATGATAAATTCCATTGAAATCATTTTGATTGATTTTTGAAATCTTTATTTAAGTTGATTGCAACATTTTTTTTTTTTTAATATGATTAATTCTTTGAAGGATGGTATAAAATTTCCAAGAATATGTATGTAATATTTTGGCAGTCTGCCACATGAATGAAGCTTGGCATGAAATGGTGACAAAGAATAATAGCTGTTTTGATTCCACATCTTTATTCAGTTCAAATGGCAAATCATTGTTCTTTTAGATCTCCAAGATTACATACACGATAGTAATTTAGACTAAATAGGATTAACTTTAAAATTTGCTGTGTCATACTATTCAAACAAAGAAAGACGGGAAGAGATGCAGCAAGGGTCTTATAGCGGCAGGAGGAGAAAAGCAATCTGATGAAAAATTGCACGGACTCTACATTTATAGTAGTGATTACATAACATGCAGAATATTCTCGAAGGTACTGGTCTAGGGACAAGATCCTGAAATTGCAGAAAGTTAATTAGAGGTTGCTTGTTTGCAAAGCCATTGTATTTTTTATATTTTACATGTATTCTCTTAAAGTGGATATTCTTATGTTCATCTGTTGATATACAGGCAAAGAATGGTGCTTGTTATTCCATATGCATTAAGAATTTGAGGCAGTTCTTTGACAAATTGCAAACTTTTAAGAAATCTTAAAGGAGAATTTTTGTAAGAATTATTTGTGGCTATACCAGTTTTCTGGTTGCATCATGTAAACAATTCTTTATTTCCTCTGATATTTTTTAAGAATATCAAATTATTTTGCTAGCAAAAGCGAGATAAATAACAAATTTTGTTTTGCTTTTGTTGTCTATTAAAAAAGATTCAACAGTAAGTAAGAAAAAATGATTCAAACAGTATCTGGCCATAACAGCATTAATGTTTCCTACAATGATTTGAAGTGAATGTTGTTTCTTTGGTTGAGTTACTATGCTTAAATCTAATGTGAAATGGTTTTAAAAAGTCAAATATTGAGGTCAGGGCATTTTTTAATGTAATAATTCTCTTGCCTTTTATATGTAAAAAATTATCTCCAAAAAGGTACTTATTGAAATTCAGGCAACTTTAAAAACTG